TGGCTTTGGTACTTCCTTTGACTGACACAGATCTGTTTCCTCTATTGTATCCTCTACACCAGAGATCCTCTCTTCCATCTCTTGTATTCTGTTGGTTATGCTTGCATCTGTGTTTCCTGTTCATTTACCCAGATATTCTATTTCAAGCATTCCCTCTGTTTGTGTCTTCTTCATTGATTCTATTTCACTTTTCAGATCTTGAACTGTATTCCTCACATGTTTGCCTTTTCATGGTTTTCTTGGCTTTCTTTAAGGGATTTATTGATTTCTTCCAATTTTTATATGTTTTTCCTGTTTCTTTATTGATTTCTTCGAATATTTGTTTGTCTTTTCCTCTATTTCATTTTTGATTTTTTCTTGAAAGGCCTCTAGCATCTTCATGATGCTAATCTTAAGGTCACTTTCTTTTGCTTCTTCTACCTTGTGAGGTTCAGCTATTGCTGTTGGAGGAGGGCTAGGTTCTGGTGATGCCGTATTGCTCTTTATGTTGTTGTATGTATTTTTGCCTTGAAGTCTGCCCATCTCCTCTTTCCTTGGTCCAATGAGAGCTGGCAGTTTGGTTTCTATGCCTCAGGAAGTTGTTGGGGTCTCAGGCGGATGGGTATGGGGACATGGCATATAGATTGCATTATCCAGTGGGGAGTTTTGGTGAGGTGGTCCTTCTGGTTTGAGTTTTGCCTGCTGTCTGGCAACTGGGACAGAGTTGGGTGGGGGTTCCTTGGGACTGGTTGTGTCCTAGGAATGGGTCCTAGGGGCCTCACAATTCAGTTTTAATGGGTTTTTCTTTCCTTTAAATAAAATTCAGAATCTAGATATTGTAAATTCCTTTATGTAGTGTAGTGATTCTATAAGAAAACATTTAAGGAACTGATTGTCTGCAATCATTTATTTCATCATCTCTTTCCTTATAAGCCATGTACTGGAAGGAACATGTCAATTCCAAGTAAAAGAACACATAAACAATCTTGTTCCTTCTTTTTTTCTACAAACAGGACTTGCTGTGTCTAAGCCACACCTGGTAACACTTTTGGAGCAAAGACAAGACTCTTCAGATGTGAAGAGACGAGCAGCAGCCAACGTGCAGCCAGGTGTGTAGGAATGAGGGGTTTGGGGCCAGGGTTGAGTGCAAATATCCCCCAGAAAGGCAGGCTTTCCCATCACCTGGAACATGACACTGTGGGAGTCATTCTTTGGTCTGTCCTTCATGTCTTTGTTGTCGAAGCTCATCTCTCAGAAGTGTATGGTACTTTAAGTCCTTGAAGCTTTACATTTCCCCAAGAATAACTCACTAGCCGGCTCCTATTGCAGTGCCTTCCGAGATCTGTGTCTTTGTTGATTCTCCATTGTAGAGTAAGACACAGGGAAAGAGAACTCAGTGCTGGTCAGACTGAGAGTCATTTAGTTTTAGAATTTGAGAGCAGACTCTAGCCGAAAGATCTCAATACCAAAGTGAACATCATGTCTTGAGTTATGACTTTCTTGGGTTAAGTGTTTTCTTTGACTGATGGATCTATTTCCTCTAGCATATCCTCCATTCCCCAAATTCTGACTTCCATATCATGTATTTGTTTCCTTTTGCTTGCTTCTGTAGTTCCTGCTCAGTTCTTGTATAATATTAAAGTGACCAGCCTTAATATTATACATCCCAGGGGCTCAGGAGAGAGAACTACTAACGGCGAGGACTATTTTCAGGAAATATCATCTCAGCACACCGAGTTCTATAGTCCACTTGCTTTAATTCCTCTGGCATAACATCCTTTATACACAGCTTCAGTTCTGTTTTCATGTCTAGCTCCTTTCTTGCCTGATTTCTCTATATTTATCTACTGTCCCCTCTAGATTCTATCTTAATTCCTTCATCTAGTTCTGTCCCTTCTAGGTTCTCATCTATCTAGTTCTTTCCCCTATCAGCTCCTCTCCCGTCTCCTTCTCTCTCATCTGGCTCTTCCTCATCTTGTTCTTCCCCATCTGGCTCTTCCTCATCTTCCATCTCATTCCTCTAGTCCTCTCTTTTAGGCCTTCAATCTAGTTTTTCCCCATCTCAGTTCATTCCTCTCAAGTTCTTACCCATCTAGTTCTTCCATTCTCTTTTCTCTTCTCCCCTCTACCTCCTGGAAGTCTCGGTATATAAAGGGAGGGTCCGAGCTAAATTGTGTAAAGCTATTACTTAACGTCCACCTCTCCTGGGCGGTGTCTCCTTGTGGAATTTACCGTAAATCAGGAGACTTGCTTGTGGGCTGTTATCATTGTTAGTCTACCTGGGACTAACAATGGGTGCCCACCTGGTGGTGTTTCCTGTAGTCCTTGAAAGTGGCCAAGGGAGATAATCTGATTCCAGAGAAAGCCTTTCCTGAGGCTGTTCTCCAAATACCTGGAATGTGTATGTCTAGAGAGTGATCAGTCTACACTGTTAGCCCTTCTTAGGGAAAAGTCAATTGGGAAAACTATGAAGGCACACATGATTTTCATAACAGAATACAGCTGATATATAACAAG